CAAAACAATTACGCACGTATATTACATCTCCCCCTGTGTGGTTATATTTCGAACCCTGGAACTTGGCGACAAAGCTGTCACTTGTCTGCTAAGGCATATAGTTATACTCTCATATGTAATGTTGATTCCACTAAGACGTTCACAAATCCCTGCGATATACAAATTTTGTAATAAATATATTTTTTAACAGCTCACCTTGCGCGACTACGAAAAGATGTCAATTTTTGTTGTTCTAAATCCGAACCCTTTAACTACAGTTTTAAAAGAGTTTGGGATTTTAAGGTTACATATTTTGAACAAGAATAGACTAATGAGTTCCACTATCGCTTTTTTAAACTTCTTTTTGGCAAAACAAACTCAAAAATCAATATTGAATGCGTGTGCATTGTCTTTGAAAACACAAATGTCGCGATTTTTGTTTTTCGAGTATACACTTACTTCGAACCCTGTAACTACAGTTTTAAAACAGTTTAGGATTTTAAAGTCACATATTTTTAACAAGAATAGACTAGTGAGTTCCACTATCGCTTTTTTAAACTTCTTTTGGGTTAATAAGGCTAAAAATAATCAATGATTGTGTGCATACTATTTTTGACAACACAAATGTCGCCATTGCCCTGGTGTTTATGTGCATGGGTACGTACTGTATTAATATACTTCCAATAAAGTTCAAACGATTTTTACATTAACTTGACACCTCTTATTCAAATTAAACTTTAACTAAGTCAAAATATGTGACTTTAAAATCCTAAACTGTTTTAAAACTGTAGTTACAGGGTTCGAAGTAAGTGTATACTCGAAAAACAAAAATCGCGACATTTGTGTTTTCAAAGACAGTGCACACGCATTCAATATTGATTTTTGAGTTTGTTTTGCCAAAAAGAAGTTTAAAAAGCGATAGTGGAACTCATTAGTCTATTCTTGTTCAAAATATGTAACCTTAAAATCCCAAACTCTTTTAAAACTGTAGTTACAGGGTTCGGATTTAGAACAACAAAAATTGACATCTTTTCGTAGTCGCGCAAGGTGAGCTGTTAAAAAATATATTTATTACAAAATTTGTATATCGCAGGGATTTGTGAACGTCCTAGTGGAATCAACATTACATATGAGAGTATAACTATATGCCTTAGCAGACAAGTGACAGCTTTGTCGCCAAGTTCCAGGGTTCGAAATATAACCACACAGGGAGAGATGTAATATACGTGCGTAATTGTTTTGTCAACGTTGTGAAAAACCGAAGTTATAATGATTGTTTTTATAGGGAAAATTAAAAATATACACGTACTCACCTTGGCATATATTCTCTGCTTTTGGTACCGCCAAAAAATATCTTTTACCTTTGCGTTTGTTAAAAAAAAGGGGAAAATATATGCAAAATCTACATTTTTTAAACTTTTTTACAGGCCAGTTGCCACGGTAACTGATGAATTGATACGTGCTAGCCCGTATCACGGATGCCGCGTTCGCAGGCATAGCGTTTTGCCTAGCGTTTCCAGTCCATTCCTTTGATTGTCTATGGATAGACTAACGAAGTATCAAAGTAAGGACTGCCCATGACATAGCATATATTTTCACAGCACTTTTCTAAAAATCAAAATGTTGACTTGAGATTCTACTAGACATTCTAACACGACGAAGATAGACTAAGGAAATAGTAGGACAGAAACGCCTTGTGATTGCTATTTGCTAACCTATGTATTTAATACATAACATATACCAATATTGAGTATACTATACCAAAAGCTCCGACTACTGTATAAGCCCTGGGCTTATACTTTTGTAAGTGATTTTTGACAGGCTTATACAAGGGTACCCTGGTTCCAGAGGTTTAAAATAAACCTCTGGTTGAAAGCGGCAATTGATTCATCGAGCCGCGCCAATCAATTTGAATTAGGGTCAGATCCTGACTCTGTCTCCTGATTGGATGATTGTATTAAAGCTCGCTGATTGGTTATAGATGTTATATTTGAATCAATCAGAGAGCTTTAATATACAATCATCCAATCAGGAGACAGAGTCAGGATCTGACCCTAATTCAAACTGATTGGCGCAGCTCGATGAATCAATTGCCGCTTTCAACCAGAGGTTTATTTTTCCTCTCCCCTTCGCAATGAAAATAATAAAAATAAACCTCTGGAACCAGGGTAATACAAGGGGGGGGGGGAGGCTTATATACCAGTGGACTTATACATGGAGGTTATAAACAGGGAAATAAACATGTATTAACCAGCGATTACTGGTGAAGGCTATTTCAGATACGGTAGAGCACCTGGTCCCCAGGCCTTTACCGGCGCGGCCGCGAAATTCAATAAGGCGCCAAGCTAAGGAGTGGAGTTTAAATGGAGTTTATATTCTATAATTTCTATTGTTGTTTTTTTATCTTTTTATTCTTTTTGGTTGGTAGAACTTATATTCTGAAATGCCAGGTATCTTATTCTTTATCTGATTAATCTGAAAAAAGATTTTATGACAGAATTTTTCTCAAACATTATAGTTATAAAAGACTAAAAGTAAAAAGTTAATGAATATTTAAATAATATCTATATGTTTCAGTGAATTATGCTCTAAAAGTAAAAAATAGATTGGCCATACATAATTTTTGACACATACCACACATAAAGTGAAACGTCAGAAGACATACCATTGACTTTTGTTAATTAATCATAGTTTCAACTTCAATTTTGAAAATTGTAATAACAGCCTAGTTTTTATTCCATAATCCACAGAACTTGAACATCCATGCGGAATGTACAAATTATTGACTTTTCGAGTGAAGTTCTGTTTGAATTTTTCAGGTACTAAGTTATCTTGTTACGTCTAGCCTGGCACAGACCGTTCAAGATTGCACTGTTTAATTAGCACCAACACTAACAGTCATGGTGGCAGGATGGATCCAGCATGATCTGTTAGGGGGGGGGGTGGTTTTGATCTGCCAGCTCTAATGCCAAGTTATGTTGGTCATGTACGCCACCTGCCCATCAACTTACAAGTCAAGCAGGGCCGTAGCTAACATGCATAGTTGGGGGGGGGGGTGGTGTAGGCCAAAAATTTCCGAATGTACCCCCCAGTAAATCCATTCCAGCATACAGTTGGGTTTATAGGGGGAGGGGACGGGGTTGACAGAGGTACACTCTTGGCCAACAGGGGAGTGTAAAAATCGAAAGGGGAGTGGGGAGGGGGGGGGCGCTACAAATTGAATTTCCCATACCTCTGAGCATTTGAGATATTGTACAGTGTATAATTAATATTACAAATATATTGTCGCCATGTAACCTTAGGTATTTCATGTGGTATGTGTAATTGGGGTTAGTACCCTAAGTATCTTCCCCGGCGAAAATTTGTTCATGAAGTCATGAACTTTGATGGTGCATTCATGAACGTTCACGTAAATTCATGAACAGTTCATGCTCCATTCATCAAATATTTTACCTACGGTTCATGAACAAGTGTTCATGAAGTGTTCTTGAATGCTCTTCACGAACTGTTCATGAACAGTTGATGAATGGCCAATCAGTTCATGAACTTTTTGTTTTGAACAGAATAGTTCATGAATGTTCATGAATGTTCATTTGAATATTTCATGAACTGATTATTCATGAAAAATTCATAGAATTCACTTGGTGAACATGACATGAAATTTTGATGAATTTGTACTGACTCATGAACGTTCATGATTTCGCTTTGTGAACTACCATGAACTATTCATGAACAGTTTTAGTGGATTATAATACATCATAAATAATTCATAAAATGTATTAATTCAATGAATGTCGATGCATGTTTAATGATATTAACTTTACGATCGTATATTACGAGTTTGTAAAGAATTATACACTATTCACTACTGTATACAGGGTGTATCAAAATAAACGCAATTCATGTTTGTTGCTTAATAACTTTCGAAATACTACTTCTAGTTAAACGCTTTTAGGCTTACTTCAAAGCCTGTTCTTTTCTCTTTCAAACAAACTATTATCCTTGTCTCCAATGCTAGTAATAATTGCACAGGAAAAGATTTAGTAAACCTATCATTTTTAGTTGCTGTTTAATTATGCAAGTTTACTATGTTATTATTTAGTCGGTTTAAATGTTAGAATTTTCTTCTTTAAACTTTAATGTTGTCGTCACTACATCTGGAAAACCACGTAAGAACAAATTAAAAGTATTTTAATTAAAAGAGACCAGGTTGTTTGAAAATCCTAAACGTCAAAACATTCTGTTGTCTGAGCCAGGGTGTCATCAAATTGCGATGTAATGTAAAGAGAAATTATAGCAAGTTGATGTCAGTCAGCTTAGATGGTCCAAGCCAAAATTATATCGCATTTGAAGTTTCAAACTGAGTTAAAAATAGTGGAAGAAAAGCCGTAATTATACTTATTGTTACAATCCATTTAATAAAATGCAACATTTTTTTGTTTTAATGAAAAAAATCAGTTATTTTTATGAGAACGATTTGTTATTCCATCTCAATTTTTTTAATCTCCAATCGCAATAACGTAAAGTATTATTACCCGCGAACCAATGAGTCAAATTTAAGAAACAACCCACTGTTAGAAAGCTGAATGGCTACGCTTTAAAATGAATGTAAACTTTAACGTTTTCGTCCATTATTTGTTTAGCAATTTAGATTTCAGTCGAGGATTGCGCTTTTTTTTATACACCCTGTAGTCTAGTCTGTATTAAATTTATCATTTCAAATTGAGTGACATTTGGAAAAGTGCAATTTCTGAAACATTAGTTGATCAGCGTGGTTATATTTAAAGTCAATATATAGAAAAAGCTGTCTTTATGGTCTATGCTTTTATATTATTCATTTCTACATGAATCAAGCTCTAAATGTCTTTTCTGCCAATTTTATCTGATATCTATAATCAGGTTTGTGCATTTTGGCTATGTAGACAGGCTGACGGCCAAGACTCGAGCTATATACAAATACACCTCACATTTAGTGTGGGAAGACAAATTTGCGTGCATGCTTTTATAACACAACACTTCAGTTTTATTATGTTCTTCGTTGTTCTTGCTGGATTTACTGGCGTTTGTTGGCTTGGATATGCATTTCAAGAATACAATGTTGGTGAAACTACCAGGAGGGGTATAGCTACGTCTGCGAAATTCCAGCAATTAGTATATAGCGCAAATTAAGCGCAATCAAGTAAGTTTTAATAGTATATCGGATCACCGTTTTTAATACGGCCATAAATTAATATGCCCAAAACGTTTCAATAAATGTGTTATATCAAGTGTTTAACAAACATAGTGTACATATACTCGGAACTATAGGTGTCTCCTCAACCTTTAATTGCCCAGTATATTGATCTTACAGTAACTAAATTTTCTATGGTATCCCTTACGAATATCAACACTATTTTAACCCTATTTTATCCCTATTTTACTTTCTATTTTATTCCTATAGAAAAGCTATTTTATTTTTAACCCTATCATATTGCTATCACATTTACAAATCCTATATTAAACCTATCAGAACTCTGTTTTAATTGTATTTTATAGCTATTATAAATAGGTTTTTTTGAAACAAAAAATAGCCTATTTTAAATAGATTTTATTTTTCTGAATCGGTGAAGCACAGATTAAAATAGGTTTAAAATAGGATAAAATATATTTAAAATAGAGTGCAAAATAGAAATAAAATAATAAAGTAAAGTGAAATATTGGTAATAAAATAGATTTTAAATATACATAAAATAGGTAAAAAATAGTCGAAAATACATATAAAATAGTGGATCAACTGCAGTATATTAACTAAAAATAGTAATAAAATTACTGCAAAAATAGTAATAAAATAGTTTAAAAATATGAATAAAATACTGATAAAATAGTAATAAAATAGTAGAATTTAAAATAGTGATAAAATAGCGAAC